CATACACACACAGCTGAAGTTGAATCAGCTCCCTTAGGAGTAAAGGCCTGGCTAACAGATTCTTTAGTTCATTATAGTCACCACCTTCAATCTCTTGTTGAAGAGAAAAGGTCTATCACCAGGATGCTTTAGAAACCTTGTGCCACATTCTCTCTTCACTTATGCTGGCATCACTTTACTGAAGTCAATGGTATAATTGAGAGGAGAGTGTTTAAAAGGAGACCACTTCAAACCAGCATTTTTTTGTTAAGCCTTTATAATGTTTTGGCTTTCACCAGATCCATGTTTGCACTAATCCCTGTCAACCCAACAGGTTCCAAATTAATTAAGCTAAATTATTTCCTGGTGCTAGAAAGAAAGCACATAAAAATAATCATTGAAAATATGCCCTTTGTTTAAAAAAAGTCCAGTTTAACTGTATATGCAGCAGAGTAATAAAGCCATCTGATTCAGGGGATCAGTGAAACAATCTCTAGGCTCTGCTGAGGCCGGAAAAGAAGTATTTATATGGTTGCAAACTAAATTATGCAAGACATCAGTGTGCTCTAATTGTGTGAATGGAAAGTAGCTACATAAGTGTGAGAGAAAGAGAGTGTCTGCATGTGCGTACATGGGGTGATGACTAAAGACTTGGATTTATATTTTGCCGAAATAGAGTCTCATTTACCGATTTACTTGTATTTATTAAGATTACAAAGCTCAGGCATTGTTTGCCCTGTCTACCTTCCTCCACTCCAGGAGCTAACTGCCTTGTAGCTTTTACGTGTCTCTCTGGAGTTTTATTCTCGAGAAGCCAAGTTGCTGGTTATTTTCAGTGATCTGCCTTTTGCATACCTACCCTTGTTGTATGCTCAATGCATATGATGTGTCAGCAAAGTGAATACGTGTATTTCTTTATTTCACCGAAGGAAAAGAATCGTTGAGGGAGTAGGGAGAGGATGAGCAGCCTCCACCCCCCTCCCCCAGAGCCTGCTGGGAAATGGAGTCCAACCTGCAGCTGCTTTGTGAACAAAAGGCAGAAGCGACTGCTGTTGTAGAAGCATCTCGCCTACGGCGCCTTCCAGAATAGCAGGGGGTTACGCCAGCGCTGTGACAAGTGAAACTTGCAAAAGAGACAAAAAACGCCAAAATCAATGTAAAGAAAAAAAAAAGTGCATTGCTCCAAACCCGTCTCGCTTTCATTTGCTTTTTAGCAAACTTCCCTGGGAAAACCCATCCACCCCGGGACCACAGAAATGGGGCCACGTTAAGTTCATATTTTAGGGACCAAACAATGGATTTCTACTTCTTTTGATTTTATTTTTAGCTAAAAGGGGAAGCTCCTCCACGTTTTAAAAATAGATTTTCGTGGGTTCTTTGCTTTCTTTTCTCTCCTTTTCTACGAGATGCATTTCTTTTCAGTACTAGGAGCAGGGAGAATTCTCCCCGGGATAATCACATAGGATTTGATTTTATTTTCTGCGTGCAACTTCCTGTTGGGCTTGCAAAACAAATTACTATCGGCTGCTTCCAAGATCCAGTGTAACACCTTAAACAAATTCGGATGTTTAATCCCACCCCGGTGGTATCACGAAGCAGAAGCTCACCATCGGGGCTGCATTTATTTATTTATTGCTGGCAGTCGGTACAAAGCTGAAGCGGTTCCTCGCTTCCAAACCTCCGGATGATCAAATGCAGGGTATAAAAATGCAAATACTTGTAACCCTTCTGGGGATTGTTAAATAATAATAATAATAAAAAAAAATCAGTCGAATAGCCTCCTGCTTTTAAGAAGGAGTCATTTTATTTGTTCTTTACAATGCAAACGATTTTGTTAATGAGTAGGAAGGAGTTTACAAGTGATCTTTCTGGAGAGAATCTAACACATAAATGGCAAGAGCCGAGATCTCTCTCTCTCTCTCTCTTTTGCCTTGATAATTACTTTAAGTTTCAGCTCCCCATCCCCCCACGTTAACCTTGGATCCATAGTTTCTGACGCTGCCTCTCTGCTCCTTTTTCTCCAGTACATCAGCTGTTACTTTTCATTTCATGGCTCACTGGTGAAACTCTTGAACTCTTTTCTCTTTACATGTCCAACCTGTTTTCTTCCCCAGCTACTTTTGACTTTTCCCAAGGTCTCCTCTTTCATCACGTTAAAGCCTTGCTTGCTTGTGTGTGTGTGTGTGTGTGTGTGATTGAACGCGGAGGGGGTAGGGGAGTGCTGATGTGTCAGGGATGCGAGTGCCACTAGTCAATGATGAAACTGATCAAAAGAGACCTTTGAATCACCGCCTCGTGCATCTCCCTGGGACCTGGCTGGTCATTTACTAGGAGAACGTGATCTATGGGAGAAGGCTTTGTTTTAAAAATCGGGGCCAGCAAAAGTGTAGGAAGTTAATCCTTCGCTAACACACTTATCAGGACGATCTCGGGGTTGTTTCACGGCGATCTCAGGACTATTATGAGCAAAAGAAAGGACATGAAAGGAAGCTCCACCCCCATTCCCCAGGTCCTTCGAAATTGTTTTTCCCTCCCCCCACCACATCCTTCAGTCTTACATCTAGGGGTGGTGATTGGTTGGCTGTGTGTTGCAGCTGTATCATTTTTTTGGTCTGTGTACAGCTGACAACAGTACTCCAATAGTATCAACATTGGGCTTCTTTTTTTTGGAAATCTCTGTCTTCATACTGCTTCAGTTATCAGTGAACACTCGTCATCATCATGTCATAAAGGATACAGAGGCAGGAAGGAGAAAAATCTGCTTGGTTTAGCGATTCACTAGAGAAAAGACGTTTTGACTGTTAAAGAGAGTTTTGTTTTGTTTTTGTTATGTTCTTTAGAAGGTGGTCAGATTCACAAAGGTCCCTAAAGAATGAAGTCCTCAGTTTACCTATTGGCAGGGATAAAAGGATTCCCATTGACTTTGCTGGGATGCCTTATTCCTTGCAGTATCTCATGTGCAAAGAGGTTCACCAAGAAAAAATAGTGTGGCAGGTGTGCAGTTGCTCTACACCTCTTCAGTGACTGTTTTGATTTTGCATGCCCTTTAAGTTTATGATCCCCAAAGCATTGCCATGAATGATGAGTAGAGATGGCTGTATTTTTCCCTTCAATTCATTAACAAAAAGAAAATAAAATTTCAAATCTGGATTTAAAATAGGATTGTGTATATATGATAGATATGACCAGCTATAAGAATGGGAACCCATTTTGCCATATGAGGACACATCACAACTTCTTCATGCAACACTGGATTAAACCATCTACTTCTACATCTAGTCTAGTCAGTGGAAAGTGCAAGACATTTTGAAGGAGATACCAATGGAATGATCTTCTGTGAGGCTAAATGTTTTACTAACCCGTTCTTAGAGGTTAGTTTATGCCTTGAAACATGTGGATTTAGACCCCTTCTACATTTACCATTGTAACACAGTGTGTTCCTGTTAGGGAGTTAGATACATTAGTCAGAAGTCAGGCAGACTGAAGGGTAGATTTACACCTTGTAGACTAACTAAATCAGAAATGTATAGTGGCAGCTTTTGTAGGCCTGAGCTCACTGCATCAGATGCTGTCATCTCCACACATACTGATTTATATCCTACAAAACTCTTAGTCTCACCTATTCTCTATGGTACTGAGTTCCACAGTTTAATTGCCAAACCTATAGAAAAGTATTCCTATTGATTAGTTTAAATTTTTCTGTCATTTAACATCAAACTTTTATTATGAGAAAAAATGACTGATATAATTCTCTGCCATTCATGTACATTACATGCCATATACATCACGATGCCATTACACAGATTCATAGCATGATAGCTTGATAGCCTGTCCTTAGCTTCTTCTGATAAACACAGTATGAAATGGCAGCCAAGGACCTCACCATTCTAGCTGTCAGAACAAACTTTTCTTTTAATCCAGATTTACAAATTTGGTCAACCACTAAACCTTTTAATCACTTTCAAATGAGCATACTTCAGGAGAGGAAAAACATTTGATCAAAACAAGTTACAGATTTGCCTTAGATGGGGAAATCTGTGGAAAAATTAATTTCTTTTCTCAGCTAAAAAGCTTTTTACTTTAGAAAATTGCCTCTTGTTGAAGTATGAAACAGTGGGAAATTTGGATGTAATCAGAAAATGTTTTGGTCTCCATGTTCCTAGCTAAAATGGAAGGCTTCTTTCTTTGTTTCTTTCAAGATGGCCACCGACAGAAATATCTATTCAGAGCTCTGAGAACTTCTCCCTGTTTTAGACCCTGTGAAGTGGACAGCACTCCTTGATTTCCTGCACCAGAAAAGGCTGGACATCACCTTTCTCCAAGAAACACACACTGATGCAGCCAATCAAACTGACTGGCATGCCACCTGGAAGGGTCACAGTTTCTTCAGTCATGGCACCTCCCTCAGCACAGGAGTTGTGATCCTTCTGTCACCACAGCTGACACCTGACTCAGAGGTAGCCCAAGAGGTCCCTGGCCTGCTCACCATTCGCATCCAGTTTGCGCAACATCGCGTCCTCCTTATTAACTTTTATGTACCCACTGCTGGATGAGAACGAACTGCCTTCTTTCAGACCCTGGCTGACTTTTTACAGAGTGCTGCTGATGGTGATGACCTTCTTCTCCTGGGCGAAGCCTTCAGTTGCACAGTTGATGTGTGTCTTAACCAGAATGGGCCGGAGCCCCATCCATCCTCAGCCTGGAAACTGTGGACTGCTTTAGAGGCAGCAGACCTTGTTGATGTCTGGCACCATCTCCATGTCGATGCAAGGCAGTATACCTGGCTTCTCCTTGGCCCCTGTCTCCTACATGTTTTTCATGAGAGTCTCGTGGACCTGACAATGCCAATCAGCTGTCGCCAAGCTGTCCTCACCCTGCTGCCTAAGAAAGAAGACCATGGCTGGATCAAGAACTGGTGACCAGTGTCCCTCTTGCGCAGTGATTACAAGATCCTGGCCAAGGCTTTGGCTAACCTGCTGCGCACCATTATGACTTCCATCATTGGCCCTGAGCAGACCTACTGCGTGCCAGGCAGGACCATCCAGGACAATCTGTTCCTGCTTCGAGACCTGTTGACGGCTGCAGACCTGTCCGGCCTCAACATTGGGCTCATCTCCTTGGACCAGGAGAGAGCCTTTGATTGGCTCAGCCATGACTACCTGTTTCGGACTCTTGAGGCCTTCAGCTTCGTGCCCACCTTGACATCTGCCCTCCAGGTCCTGTATCGGGACATTTTGAACATCCTTAAGGTGAATGGCATGCTCTGTGCCCTGTTCCCAGCCTGCAGGGGCTTCCACCAGGGCTGCCCTCTGTCAGGAATGTTGTACACCTTGTCCATCGAGCCCCTACTCCATGGCCTGTGGCGGTGCCTGACCGGACTGACTCTTCCATCTGCCTCTGTCTCAGTGGGCTGCCTGCCGGTCAGGCTCACAGCATATGCAGACGATGTGACTGTCCTCATCAGCACCCAAGGTGATGTCCAGTTCTTGGACACCTGTTAAGAAGCCTATGAGCGCACCTCTTCAGCTCGTGTGAACTGAACCAAGAGCAACACCTTCCTCCTTGGTCCCTGGGTCAACCCCCTCTCCCCCAACTTGCTTGGGGGTCTTACCTGGCGTCAGGAGGGCCTCAAGGCCCTGGGGGTGTTCCTTGGGCCGTCAGTCTTCTTGGCACGGAACTGGGAGGACTTTGGTGCCAAGGTGGAGGTACGTCTGTAGCGATGGCGCTGGTGTCTGCCCAGCCTCTTCTACCATGAGTGGGTCCTTATGGTCAACAGCCTGGCAACTGTGATGTTGTGGCACCATTGCACTGTGTTGTACCCCCTGCCAGACCTGCTTGAGAAGCTCCAGTGACTGCTTGTGGACTTCTTTTCGGACGGGTGTCACTGGCTCCCCCAAGCTGTTCTGTATTTGCCAATGGCCGAGGGGGGCCAGGGCTTGGTTGACCTGGTGGGCAGGGTAGCAGTCTTCTGCCTACAGGCCCTCCAGAGGCTCCTTTACTGCGAGGACACCCTCCCATGGCAGCAGCTGGCTAATTTGTCTTTGCACTAGGTGGGGGGACTTGGTTTCAACCGGGAAGTATTCCTTTGGGACCCCACCCTCCTGGACTGGGGTATCCTCCCACCCTTCTATCAAAGCACGATGTGGTCCTGGTGAGCTGCCTTCTGCCTCCTGCCCCAAGCCAAGAACCTGCATTTTCCACAGTTACTGCAGGAGCCCCTGGTCCATAACCCAGCCTGGCAGCACAGTCTGCCAAGTGTCACCTCTAGCAGCCTTGTCGACTCCCTCATTCAGTCACATACCATCCGGCTGGGACACCTCTTCAACATGACCCAGTCAGACTGGTTGTCAGCTGAGGTCCTGGCCATCTGCTTGGGCATGCGCTCAGTCCACTGTGCTGCCCACTTCCTAAGGGATGTGCAGGCCATTCTCCCAGAGGATGCAGCAGCCACCCTGGAGGAGCACCTTCAAGCACGGAGAGCCCTCCCTGCCGGGGATGTCCTGGGCGAGACCTTTCCCCCCACTGCCTGTTGTCCCAGTTGTGGATAGTAACCTGCGTGGTAGGCCTGCCACCTTACTGGCTCTCCCTATGTCTCTTGACAGTGGTACTGGGATCCACTTTGATGCGCTCCCCCAGAAAGCCCTGTATCTGTGGATGATTCAGGTCTGCCATGCCCATGTCCTTGCCACTTGGCTTGACATGGTGCGGCAGAGGCATATAGCAGCCCTAGCAGTCACACCAGGCTGCCCGCGTAGCACGCACTTTATAAGGCCCCCCCCATCTCCAAAAAGACCGGTGACCTCCAGTGATGATTGCTACATGGGATACTGGCCACCGGCACTCTTGTCCACCACATGGGCCCAGCTGCGTCAGCTTCCTGTCCCTTTTGTCCATAGGGGTGTGGAGGAGGACCTTAACCATGCCATCCTCAGATGCCCCCGGCTGTTGCAGCTGTTTGCTGCCCTCAGCACTTTGCTTGAGGCGCTAT